CATACAAATGACTTCTTAATATGTTATGCTAGTCCGAAATATCTGACGTTTCCCTGGCTTTTATTTTATGATTTTGATATTTTACGTGCCTTACGTTAGGACTTATGTTATGTATTACATTAAAAAATGAATTTAATTAAATACCGGTATGCAACCCACCCTACAACCCACCCACCCCAAAAATTAAAAATGAAATTATGGTGTTTTTTTTTAATTATTATTGAAGAATTTTATCATGAAATACTGATCAACCGCATTTTTTCGGTTCAACTAAATGGGGAACTAACCTTTGTAAAGGTCTTGTATAAGTAGCATCTGTTGTAGATGTCAACCCTGAAATTTAAAATCCAAAAATGTCAATAAATACACAATATTTTGTAACACGGAAGTAGAATTAATTAATGGGATTTACTTTTACTTCTTACCGACAACAAACCCAGAATCGCATAGCTTTTTCATTTTCTCGCCAATCTGAATCTCGAATTCCTTGATGAGCTCTTTAAGTTTCACAAGATCTCCATTTATTTTTCTGGCATACTCGGCAACTCCTTTGATGCAGTTCGCAGACCCTCTAGTTTCATCACTAACTTCCTTACTGAAAGTCAGAAAGTCTGCAGTAGAAGCTAAAGAATTCTCTAATTTTCGATGGATTCTTACTCTTTCCGAAATTTGCGACAAAGCATTGATGTCTGCCATGATTCAAAAGACAATATTCACGACTAGGACAGTTTGTTTTTCTGCGTACCAGATAACATTATTATTGAACTAAGGTAATACAAGTTGAAACTTAACAAAGTTATTTAAAAGACCTGACCATGAGAGCGATCAAATATACCAACAAGAGTACCTGTGTTGGATTGCAGTTTGTAAAAAACACGCGATGTATTCTTTTTTCCAAAAGAAGCTGCGATTTAAATTACAAGAATATTTGTTTAGAACCAAAGACCAAGACATACTTGAAAATTTCATGGAATTGCTTAGGGTGTTTTGAATTCAGAGTTATTTTTTGGTAAATACAGCGTAATTTTCTGGAAAGCTATATTCATTTAATTATATTGGATTACAAGTAGGCCTTGGATTTAAAGACATCTGCCATATTTTCAAGATATAAAGAACTGATATGTGTTATCTTTTAATTAATGATCTTGATCGATGCATGATGCTTAAATAACATAAGACACTTGACGCATTCAAAGAACATTACAAAGTACGATAATTATCGAATAAAAATTGCCATTAAAATTCATATGAAAAGTGACTGGCAATTACTAGTATTTTGAAATAACTGTAAAAATAAATTTTGGACGTACCAGGCCTGTAGTATTGATGGGGTTCCTTTTTTCTCCAAACCAAAGTTTTTACTTTTGAAAATGTTTTTTACAAAAAAAATTTGTTATTAGCAGTAAATTATGGTAATTTTGTAATGTGTTTTTAAGCAAATAGCTGTGAAAGGAAGATGAGCAAATATAATTTGGCTTAAATAAAACACTTTTTTTTTTCAAAATAAGCTCGATCTAGTACTCCATTTATTTAGCATTGTCTGCTTTATTTTCAATTGTTTAGTACGCTACTGGAGTTATCTTCCTTTGAATGGTTTGGTTCTTTAACAAACAGAAAAAAACGTCAAAGAATTTTATTGTGGCAAAAATGGGACAGGTCTGTGGTTCCAAAGGCACAAATAATTAGATGAGTAATTACCAATGCTAGCTGTCTGACTCTGGTAAAGTAATGGATGGACGACCAATGCAAAGAACTATCCTCTCCATGTCATATGCCCTGAGTTAACACAGTAATGTTTGCCACATCATGTGCCCTGATTTAACACGTTGACGTTGGCAACGTCACGTGCCCTGAGTCAACATGTCCGTTACCGTTTGCAAAACAAGTACCGAAGATCAAGGTACATGTACTTTGTAAACTTAACTTAGTCATTTGAACTAATCTTTAGAACTGTGAGGTTTTTTTATGATAACGTTATGTTGCAGGACCTGTTTTTGTCACCTTCGCAACGTGACATTCCTCTGTGACAACACATCGTTGGCCGTGGCAACCTGTTAAATCAAGGCCCTGACGTGTAAAACGTTAACATGATAGCTCAGGTCACCTGAAACGGCAAAAGCGCCTTGACTCAGAGCACCTAATGTGGCCAACGAACGTGTTGACTCAGGGCACCTGGTGTGGCAAACAGCAACGGACGTGTTGACTCAGGTCACCTGACATGGCCAACGGATGTGTTGACTCAGGGCACCTGACGTGGAAAACGGCAACGAATATGTTGACTCAGGGCACCTGATGTGGCAAACGGCAACGAACGTGTTGACTCATGGAACCTGGTGTGGCAAACGGCAACGGACGTGTTGACTCAGGGCACCTGACATGGCCAACGGATGTGTTTAGTCAGGGCACCTGACGTGGCAAATGGCAACGAAAGTGTTGACTCAGGGAACCTGGCGTTCCAAACGGACGTGTTGACTCAGGGAACTTGGTGTGGCAAACGACAACGAATTTGTTGACTCAGGGAACCTGATGTGGCTAACGACAACGAACGTGTTGACTCAGGGAACCTGGTGTGGCAAACGGCAACGAACGTGTTGACTCAGGGCACCTGACGTGGCAAATGGCAACAAACGTGTTGACGTATATGGCACCTGACGTGGACAAAGGTAAAAAATTTGTGGTATTCCAACAAGCAAAGGTTATATAGGCAAAGTTTTGCGGACAAACAGACAGACGGAAAGACATGGCAAAAGTTCTGTCTCTTTTTTATTACAAGGCCATTAAAAATGATTTTAAAAATAGGTGGGGAAAAAACAATAGCTGTCATACATATACTAGTTCGAAAATCCCTATAATTCCCAAAAACTAGTTACAGACATTAGAAAGGAAGATGAAGTGATCATGCTTACTTTATATTTTCGTTTTAGTCTGAATAATACTTTATAAATTATTGATGTTTGATAACCATTTCATTAAGCTTAGATTTGAAAAAGTCTTAATTTTTTAAATAGCTTTCAAATGTTATTATGTTGGCCAAAGCAACTGCGAAATCAAAAAAAAAAAAAAAAAAAAAATACACACAGTGTACTAAACGTGCACATTGGCAAAACGGAAAATATTTCAACAATACGGATGGATTTCCACTATTTATGGTATTTTGTCTGCTTCAATCGAACTTCCTATCTGTTGAGTTTGGAAAATTTACCTATTTCTCAGGACATTGTTTAAATGTTCATTCATGATATAGACCAAAGTGTAGAATGAATTGGGGATTTCCAGTTCATTCTTTGAATGGTCTACAACCCTTGATATACTGATCTCTCTGTTCAAGCTATTCAAAACCAATGAGAAATTGTGGCTATTTACAATTTTCTCTCGAATCAAGTTTTGAAAATTTTCAAGTAATTTAATATTGATAAAGTCATTCATACATTCCGGTATTATGAATGAATGTAGACACGTACGCCATCATATGAAAAGATACATTTGATATGCGCAGGCAATCAATTCGAGATGACAATGAAATGAATTCCATTTCATACATTTTTAAAACTAATTCAGAAATTTTGAAAAGGAAAACACCTTTCCTCTCAGAGTAGTTAAACAATTTACGGTGATAAAAAAAAGACATTCCATGAAATTCAGCCAGATTTAAGCGTTTACATGTACATTGTATATAAAGATGATTTTTAATATAAAATTTTGCTCCTCCTGAAGTGTGTAAAACAAGCACTCTCGAGTCTTAACAGTGATGAGAATCCAAATCTCTCTCTCTCTCTGAGAGAGAGAGAGAGAGAGAGAGAGAGAGAGCAAAGGAATTTTTATGAGATTGATCACTGTATTATCTCATGCAAACTTTACAGTGCTCGTTTTTTTAATATAACAAAGTAGAAAATATATTATATAGATATGTATTTTGAAAAAAAAAATTAACAAGTTTTTATAAATAGTATTTTTTTTTCATACTTTACAGTGAAATTGACATTTTTTTCTAAGTACTAGTAATTAATATTCCTCTTCATCGTAAGTATTATTCACTCGATCCTTACTAAATGAAGAATAAAATGAATCACCGGAAATCCCTAAATTGTGTCACTGATTCATAGATTAAAATATAAAATGTGCTTTTTTGGGTCTAAAATCTAAACATATATTTAAAAAATCAATTCAAATAGTCAGATAAAACTTATACTGTATATAATTCCTTTAAACCGTTACAAAATATGAAAAAATTTTGATTTTTTTTAACATTTCACGATGCAGCTTTTTCTTGAGAATTTGAATGTAAACTTGAAGGTCATATTGGGATGATATTTATATCATATTGTAGCACAGACACTTATTTCGGTAAAAAAAAAACCTTTAGTATAATAAAAACACAGGTACTTATTTCGGTAATAATTTTGATAACCCACAGTATAATGTTATTATTATTTTATGGTTTAAAAATTTATTACCGAAACAAGTGTCTGTGTTTTTTACTACTATTTTAATTTCCACAATGATTTTGAATTTAGAATTGTAGTCCAAATCTAAGTTATGCAACTAAATTCGTAACAACAGTATTATTTTCTCTTTCATTTGCATGGCATATTGCATAATATATTTATAATTAGCTTGCTAATTTCTTGCACAATAAAGGGCTTTGGGAGCATGCAAGAACTTGTTATGGACAACATTTTTGACGAAGTTTAAAAAAGAATGAAAAAAAAAATCATTTCTCTTTTCTTGCAAGGAATTTAAACATTGCATGCTTGTGAATAAATGAAAGGAGATTTTGGCATTTCCCATAATTATAAAAGTCTGGATCAATATTGAAGTCCGTATGTTTTAGGGAAATTCCATCTTTTTTCACGTTACAAAACACGTTCAAATTCCCAGAAGTCAAGAATGAAATAAATACTTCATGTAAATCGTGTTTAGGCCTATTCAGTGATAATCAATTAAACATGCAATAGTGTATAAATTTCAAATTATATTTCTCAACGTGCATTATGCATATAAAAATAGGCAAGTAATAATTAAACATGCAATAACTGTTCAACAATAGAAGATCACTGTAAAAACCTACAATGTGGAAACAAAACTCTTTTTTTCTAAATGTGCATTATGCATATAAATACAGGCAGGTAGACTGGAACACCGTAGTGCTATAGGTTGAAACGTCAAACATACTAAACGGAGTCGCCGGCGTGGCCCAGTGGTTAGAGTGTTTGCTCTAGAGTCGCAGAATGAGGAGTTGATCCTCTAGTCACTTGTTTGAATCCCACCGCTGGCCCTGGAGACTTCAGTCTTCTCCCTCGAAGGAAACCGTAATGAAAATTAATAGAAATATATTGAAGAAGACATGTTACCCCCTCCCTCCTTTCGAAAATCATTGCCTTTAAAATTCATAAGAAAAGTAACTGTCAATGATTTTGAAACATTGTTATGTATTAAATAAAAAATGGGGATTCGTGCATGTTTCGGGGGACAGAGGTCCCTCTTCCCCAGACATAACCTTTTACGTTTAAAACTGTTCAGAAAGACTGCTCTCCTAACATTTTGATGTTACATGTCATTGAAGAAGCATCGTTTTTGAAAGGGGAAACCCGAGAAATTTTTTAACCTACCCGAAAAAGCTTGACAAATAAAGGGGGAAATTTCCCTTTTCCCTGTTTCCTGTTTCCCTATACGAAAAATCCTATTTCGAGGGGGTGGGAATATGTTCTATTACTACTTTAAGTACCATTTTTTTTACACTCCATTACCCTCATGGGGAGGGGAAGGGTCAACACGTTGTTGTTGTCGCTGACCACTTTAGAGGCCCTGAGTCA